CATATCCTAAGTAGAGATAACAGAAACTTCAACGGTGCAATTGACAGCAAAAACTACAAGCAGAAGTTACAGAGCTTAAGTTCAGAGTAGGTACCATTGTAAACACGAAAGAGGGAGTAACATAGACATGATTAAGTTTCTTAAATAAGTATGAGCTAATGCAACATGCATACCATCAAAGACATAGGATTGGATCTGAGATCTTGTATTGCTGAGCTTATAGAAAGCATCTGATGCCTTTTCAGCTAAGGCTCTATATTGAATTGAAGCAACCACATTAACAAACACATTATCCTGCAGGAATGATCATACATCAGAATTTGCTGAAATAACCAACAAAGACACAGACAGGAAAAGAAATACATGCCTCTAATTAATTTTGCATTTTATGCTAGAAACAATTATCAGAATTTTATTTTATTTTATTTTATTTTTTTTGGAAGAGCATTGGATTTTGACCATGAAATATGTTCTCACACAACAATAGATATTTCCAGAAATTAATCACCAGGAATGAAATTTCGGAAATAGACCTCTAGAGCAGTGATGAATTATGCTACAAACCTTGGTTTTCGTTTCACAACGAACATCCAGCTGTTGCACACGCAAGGTAAGTTTACCAGCTAATTGTCTTCCAAAACACCAGGGTAAACAATGGCAACCAGGATCAAGCACATCTTCGAACTTCCCAAAGGTTTCTGTGATAGCCACATTTGATTGTTCTACTTGAATGCAACAAAAAGCTTGCCCCATCTTCTGATCATATTAAATATAGCAACAGTAAGGAAAAACACATATAGCTCTCAGTAATGGCTCTAAACTAAAATTCAAGAAGCAGCATAATACTTTAACCTTGTAATCTTGTCAAGAATAATATGACTAAGTTTCCAGCAGTTAAAATCAGTCATAATCCACTAAACATCTTGAAAATGCCGCCTTGATGGAAAATTCAACAAGTTATCACAATCCAATTAAGTGCCTTTTTTTTTTTTTTTTTTTTGGCCGGCCCATTAAGTGCCTTAAGAAAGCAACATAATACAAAAAATTCTTACTAATATTTCCAGACAATAGAAAAAAAGAGGATTTACTAAAAGTAAAAAACAAAACACCCATATTAAGACAGGAAAAATTAATTGCAGTCTGGGCTTTCATTTTTATGAAAGAGACCAGCATATACCTCTATCATAAAATAAATAAAATTAAAATTTGAAAAGAATGATTCCTCCAGACTCCACCTAGATGGTAACACGTGGGAAGCTAAAGATAAGAAGCAACAACCATCCAACAATAAAAATATGATAAGAAGCAACAACCATTCAACAACAAAAATATCACATTCCTAAAAAGACAGGTGCCCATTTTTCAAGGCTGAATAGTAAGCAATAACTATTATTATTGTCTTACAAATCAAATCAACTCCACCCAATAAAATAGTCTAAAATTTATTAGGTTATGCAGAACGAAATTAAGTACATACATCTCGTTCATAAACCAGCATTAAATCTCAATGACATGAAGCAAATCCATGCTGAAACAAGGATTTGAACCAGGAAGTATGATTCCTTCACAACTCATTCATATTCAGCTCTCCTATATAATAAAACTCTTAAAAACAGTCAACTTTCCCGTTGAAGTCAGTATCATATTCAGAAACAAATCTACAACTACAACCCATTTTCATATATTCATATGAGATCGTGCTAAGTCGGAAAAATCACACATCCATCAATTGGAACCGCTAGACTTAAATATAATATGTATATACGAGAAATGCTGACAACACTCATTTAGACCAATTACAGAATTAGTGTTGGAAAGAACATAATGTCTCTAACCCCCTATGGTTTGTTTCATGTTATCAGAGCCTAACACCAATTGCACAAAGTTAACAAAAGGAAACAAAATTCAATTACAACACAATAAGAATTCAAGAAAAACGGAATTACGCAGTAAAAAAAAAAAACCTAACAGAACAAGAATAAAAACTCACAAATTCGAAATTTCTCAAGCGATTGTTGCAACAAGAACAATGACTAAACCTCAATTTCTGTTTCTGTTGCCCGATTATTCAAAAACAATGCACTTTGAGTTCGCAAAATCGCAGAGAACACGAAGCAAGAAATTCAACAAGGAAAATGGCATTTAACATCACCATAATCTTAAATACTGAATTAACGGGAGATTGAAAAGGCAGAAAATTAATTAAAAAAAAAAAAAAAGGAAGATAAGAAGAAGAATCCTGGCATACCAGTGGAATCTGCCGTCCCAAGTATCGGAAGGTCAGGTGAAGGTACGGAGAAGAGATGGATGAAAGATCGACGCACAGGAGACGCGATTTATCGTGCGAGCCGCCGACGTGTCTGGTCACTATTAGCACTATCTTAGATATTTCTCGGCTCGAACGCCACCAGGCGGCCCGATGGGCCGCGCGACTGAGAGATTACCTGTGTCGAATCCCTAATTATTAATAATTTTTAACTTAATTATTAATCATTATCTTTATCAAACAAAAAAATATATATTTCTTTGCTCATCCTTATCTCTCCATATTAATATTATACATATATTTTTAACAATTGTCATGGATCCAATTGAACAGTTGATCAAAGAGAAGGGATGAACCTTTAAAGTGACGGAAAGCAGCCTGAACCTTTGGGTCAGGTTCCATCCCTATCTCTCCATATGAAGTTAAACTTTTTTGACATTTCATTTTGTTCTAATATAGTCCCTATCTTTATTACATGGTAGTTTC